CATGCCATGTACCCACATGCTATCCCCGTTGGTATGTGGTTAACACTGTTTACACGATTTTTTGCAGTTCTCCAACATATATCTGGGGTTACTGACGCACTGGCCTGAATTTGCCCAGAACTTGCAGTGTTTAGATTGATCCAAACACTGGGGATCATAACCTGCAAAATACATACATTTGCTTATGAAAACGGTATACTGTAATAAAAGACACGACAAAGATTAACTTCTTTTTAGAGGATACAATTATTAACTCCTTAAGAACTATATGATGTATCTTGAAATGAAAAAGAAATTTATCCAGTTGATTTTATTATTCAGCAAAACTATTTTGCCCATTTCTTCTGTATGATAAAAAAAATATTGCAATAAAACTGAAAAACCTTTCTTTTGCACAAGATAACCTTGCATAAAAAGGGAGGAAAGTTTTAAAAAATCAGACTATTCCACAGTGTGAAGCCAGGTGGGGAGAGTGAAAATGCAAGTATAAAAAATGCAATGAATAAGTACAATTGTTACAATACATATTCCTCATTCAAGACTAACACTACATCAGCATCAAAACCAACATCAAGAAACATAAGGAGAAACATCAACATCCAAAAAGGAGATGAAACAGGAGGAGCACAAAGTATACATACAGGAACAGAGTGAAAATATTGCAGATATAAATCTTTAGGTATAACTAGAAAGCACTAAAAGAGGAATAACTTCTATCCAAGGGAGAAGTCTTATCAGAAGTAACAGGAAATTCATATCAAACTAATTCAGCATGGATTAATTTAATGTAAATGGCACACAGACCCAAATCATAGCAAAATATCAATTGATTGCTTTACCACAGCCTCCCCAATCCCTTGTTTGTTGTTGTCATGGGGTGGGCTTTGGAAACAGAGACTGAGGCCCAATGTAGGGGATCACCCCGAACCATCTTAACTCTACTTCCCCTCACCCTCAGTCAAATTCCTTTTCCAGTCTCAATCCAGATACTCCAATCTCTACCATAACCCGATGCCTACCCCTCTCCCTCACTTTACCTGTCGCACCAGGCAACCTAAACGTTCCACTCCATCTTCTCCTACCACATCCTCTCACTCTGCTCCTCGGATCTCTATCCCCTCCTCACAAGAGAACCTTTGTTTCCCAGTCCTCTTCACCTAACTCCCCTCCAGAAACTCTTGAAGGCATCCAAAACTCCCTAAATATGACCGAAGGGAACACTCCGCTCCACTCATCCACCCTTCAATCCCTCTGTTCCTACTCCCTCTACATTTAAAGTATTTGTCGATATCCATCCTCCTCCTCCTCAAGTTCCTACCACACCCCTTCCTCCTACACTCTCCCAACACACCCTATCCTCTCGCTTCGTTCCCCATTATCCATAACCCTCCGACTTGGATGCTCATGTGAATCCCTTCTGTCACAACAGTGTCCTTCTCCATACCCCTCCCCTCCTGACACTCTTCCTGATACTTCACCATCCTCCCCTGACCCCTTTTCTCAATCCCCGGATTCTTCTCCACCTACTTCTCCAACAGACATCTCTGTTTTCCTTGAACAATGTCCCTATTCCTTCTCCAGTCACAGATATACTGCAATTTACTCGATCTCCTTATCCCCCTTTCCCTTTTTACTAATTTCTGTTCTACTTCATTTCTCCCTCTTTCGCTTTTCAATACCATGCTATCCCTTAACACTCTCTAATCTTTGACATCTAGCACAGTATATCCTAATTTTTAAGTCTTATCTACCCTTTTTGCCACAAAACTACCATACTGCTATAGGACCTTTGGTATCTAGTACATTTATTTGTATCAACCATTAACCTTTAACCCTAACGATAACCCATGAAATACATAGATAAATTACAGAGAGAGAGAGAGAGAGAGAGAGAGAGAGAGAGAGAGAGAGAGAGAGAGAGAGAGAGAGAGAGAGAGAGAGAGAGAGAGAGAGAGAGAGAGAGAGAGAGAGAGAGAGAGAGAGAGAGAGAGGAGAGAGAGAGAGAGAGAAGAGAGAGAGAGAGAGAGAGAGAGAGAGAGACCCACTGACCTGCAGGTAGACATGCTAAACACGATTGTTTGCAGAATCGCAGCATGAAGCTCCTGTTGGTGGTGCACTCTCCTGCCTCGGCCCAAAAAGCGCAATATATGTGGTCATCGATACAAGGATCGTCTGTTGAAGAAAAGCAGAATTGCTTTCTTTCTCTTTATCACGTTAGGAAAATAGTTTACTAATTGATATTAGTTGAAGCCTCTCTCTAGGAATCGTATGAAATTACCCTACCCGGTAAAGGGTTAATATGTGGAATTTTTAAAATCTGGGAACCTACCATTAAAATAAACAACAAAATAAACACCGGAAACTGAATATATTAGTTACTCCTCTTATAGGTAGCGCGTCATAGAAAGTGTGGCACGTAAAGTGAGATGGTGAACTAAGGTGAATAAGGGATAGAGGGAAGATGGGAAAGTTAAAATAGAAATATATACCTAATTACAGACACACGCACACACACACACACACACACACATACATACACACACACATATATATATAATATATATACATATATATATACATATATATAAATATATATATATATATATATATATATATATATATATATATATATATATATATATATATATATATATATATATATATATATGTGTGTGTGTGTGTGTGTGTGTGTGTGTGTGTGTGTGTGTGTGTGTGTGTGTGTGTGTGTGTGTACATAAAAGTAAATACATTATATATAAA